AACTGTGGCAACTGTTGGGTTTTTTTTTTAACACAACTAAAAGAACGCTACACTAGAAATAAATAGAAAAGCATGGATGACTTTAACATGCAATTTTTTCTGTGATCTGAATACCACAATTATTTGGTGTACCCGCCTTCTTTTCCCCACCCTTCAGTAACTTCTATATGTAACTGTATTCCATGGCTACAACTTTTTTGCTTCACTTTAGGAGCTCATTTTCTCATCTAGGTTTTCTTCCTTCCTCTTCTATGTGCTTAATTTTCAATTTACCTTCATATATATAGATATACATCTCCATTCTGTGTTCTTTCTCTCTCCGAAGAATATGTGCTGGTTGAAACATCCAGCAGAGGCTGCACGTGCCTGAGCCTCACCTATAGAGCTGAACCTTATGAAAAGAACATTATAATGTAAAAATCGCATGCTTACCACAGCCTGATATATGTTACTGGTTCCAGTGTATGCAAAGCAATATATTTTAAAGGCAATTTACAAAGAACAAGATAAGAACAGAAACCTAGTGTAAAATAAAAAAAAAGAACCCCAAAACAGCCTTAATCATTTTAGACTTCCTTACATTAAAATGGAATGAAGAAAAAGAATTCTTACTGAAGACTGCACTAAAAATAATTATCTTGATACTGATCTTCACTGCCTTATAACATTTTTATGCCAAGGTTTCCCAAAGAAACAGTCCTCACATGCTCTCTCTCACTCTAGGAGTTTCTGAATCACTAGGCTAACTTCCTCAAAGATCGTGATTTTCTTCAAATGTTATGATGTTAGGTGGTTAAGCTGAGGAGGGAGAGTATCAACACCTCAACAGAGAGAAAGGCTGTAACTTGTGTTCCAGCCTTACTAGACACCAGAAAATGCACACATAGTAGAGGTATTGAAATCGTCCTATCCGCAAAAAAGCTTCAGCTGAACCTCACGTCTTCCTAGACACCAAAAACTCCAGCTACTCAGGCAAATCTGTAAGAAACGAGTGTTTTGTTCGGCTGCTGGTGGAGTAACTTGATTGAGCACTGCTTTCACAGTTTTTATAAAGGCAGTTCAATTAACTTACATACCTGATTAGCTGGTCTAATCATCTGATTTAGTTAACCTCAATTCCTTTTATTCCTTACCTTTTCCTACTGCAGCATTTATCTGTGCTTTGAAGACTTAGGCAGCATTCATTACATCTGCAAGACAACTGGGACAGGAACAATTCCTCCTAAGGAAAACTTATGAAAGATTCCTCAAAACCATCCATGCATCATAACATAAAAGTTTATGGAAAAAAAAATTACCATGTATTTTAAGCACATGGCAATTACGATAGAGTGCATAAGGTGACACAGATGTCTTCCTTTAGGTTATCTTCTGCCAGATGTCTTAGCTAGCAGATTTGAGTGATAAAAGGTATGAAAAACTCTTATAAGTACATTCAGTAGTCACAGTCATTTTTTTCCTTGGTCTGCTGTTTCGTTACTAACGTTGGTAGAAATAAGCAAACATGAAATGTTTTTTGAATGGAAAGAATAACTTACAATAGCTGAAGTATCTGCTTGTCAACCTCACTGTTCTAGTTTTGGCATCAACAGAAGAAGTTGTGTAAGGAATTATTTATTGTCTTTTCTGAGAACTAAGTTTAACAGTAGATCTGGACAAAAAAATCCCACAAGTTGGTGCATGAAAGACAGTGTGATTCGATACGCCTTACCCAGCACTGAGAATTTTGACAGTGTGCGGAGTGTGGAACCGGAGTTATTCTTTGGAAGTTATTCTTTGGGTAAATAATACATGCTACATACTGACTTAAGGGAATTGCATGCAGCTTATTTTCCGCCACAATTGAGAGTATAGTTTACCAAATGAATTAAAGCTTTCAATCCTGATGTGCAGTTGTGCAAGACAACAATTCACAATTAGGTGAGCAGGGGTTTTTTTCACCTTTCCCCCCCACCATCTACAAGTAAGAGTAAACCATTTGTTGAGCTTCGTTTGATTTTAGAACAACTTTGATGATTCAAGTAATATTTAGCTAAAATTAGTGTCACAGACTGTCTTACCTAGCTTTGTTGAACTAAAAATTCAATATAGTATTAGCAAACAGCAATAGGCTAAAATAGTCAGTCTGCTAAATGTCACCTTTTGTGTCAAACACCTAAAAGGTTTTCCAATGATTTACTACTTAAATACATCTACAATCATGCTGCAGAAGAAGCCTGCTCTTGGTGGTTTTTCCTTATATTTATTTATGTGTATTTTTGAGAAATTTTATCTTAAAATTAGGTTATGATTTAAAGCTGCCCTACCAGATCTGACAAGGAGGAAGCATTGGTCTATTTTATACCTGATGTGTACAATATCTGCAGGCAAAGTTCAGAAGTACAATTTGTCAAAATTTGTGAACAGAGCACAAACACTGATTACATTTTAAGGTCAGCTGGCCACTTTTTAACTTTCAAGCACTTAAAATTTGCAACCCTGTCTGTGCTAGCACACATATTAAACAATATGAAAGTTTGTGTGGGGATTTTGGGCAACACCATTGTCCCAATAAGCAACCCGAATGCCATGTTTTGTGGATTTCTCATGTCTTACTTTTTTTAAAAGAACATTATTAAAAGTGTTTGTCCTCCAATCAAGGATGTGTAACTGCAACTTCAAGTTCGCTTTAGGAAGTCATTTGGGGCAGGAGAATTAACAATGTATGGAATGTATAGAGACATTCTCTCTTGAATTAATTGTTCTAATTTTCATGCTTACTAGAACGATATTAATTGACAAATTCCAGTACGAAATTTTGTATTTCCAAAGGGAAAACTGAAAAGACAGACAAGACTCTACACTGGCTAAGGACACGTGGGCATTGAATGGCTCTCATAGTTTCAACTGATGGAAGATTGCATTTACCTTCTAAATTGAATAAATTTTTTCTTCTCTTTTTCTGCTTACTACTATTGCATTTCTATCGTGCCAGGCTAAGCAATTGCAGGCAGCAATCACTTCAGAATTAACCTGACTGTATGTAATGAGAAGGAAAATGCAATAAACATTAATTGAATTGCAGGAAACACCTACTATCTAGAAGTCACTCTAAAGTGCTTGAAAAATATATGGAAGGAAGAGGTGTAAGTGCACCCACCACAAGCCCTGATTCCATTCCTGCCTCAAATCCTATTAAGATGAAGATACACCTACAGCAGGTTACACCTTACTCCTGTGTAATTGTCCTAATTGTAATGTGTGTATATTATGACACACAGGATTATGACATAAAGGATCTCTCTCATCGTTCCTTCATTTTTGTCCCATTCCCCCCCAAAAAAACCCTGACCCTCACAAGTGTACTAGGGTTTATACTCCATTCCTCAGATCTACCAGGGGTCACCCTCAGAACAGGCATAGATCTGACCCATAATTTATCCTACGTAATGGTTATATGTGCTCTTCTTTCTTGGAATCCTTTGTGTTCTTCCTCTTTAATTTTGACGTTTAAAGGCAGATAAACAAATAAACAATGTATGTTCCTCTTCCATATCTATCTGAAATTCCCATGGCAGCTCATGGTATGGGCATTAAAATAACAGATTTGAGTATTTGACACTGCAGACATTTCATGAACCCTGAGTTTCCAAGGATTAATTCTGCATCTTTTTCCTTACTTTACAGCAACCAACCACAATGCACATGTTTTGTTTAAACACACACACAAAAAAATTACAGGAGCTACTTGTTTTGAATTCTTCAGCTATCTCATAGAGAGGAGTCTGCACCAGAGTGGAGCCAAAACACCAGCCCAGATTATCATGATGCCATGATCTCACAGTGCGCTGAACTGCATTCTATCACAGAACAGAATGTCCTATTCTGAAATACAATTGAAATATCTATTTTTCTCTACTGATACCAAGCTCCCCCATGGTAGGTGGGGATCTACATGCCTTCTGAAGCTACTTTTGTCCTTATCATTGCCTTCAGCCCAGGCATTCTTCTGCAGTTCAAGAAGTGGAAAAAAACCTACAAATATTTATGCACCATGGACACTTCCAAGTGGCACCATTGTGACTGCCTAGTGCTTCAAATTTTGTTCTGTGTCTTTCACATTCTCTCTGCCCTTCCTCTGGCTTGTAGGATTCTAATTTTAGAATGAGATAATTTAAGATTACTGCACCTAATAACAAATGGTTTGGGATGTTTTCCACCTCTCATTAAGGAAAACAAGAAATTTCTATTACACACATTTCCAGTTTTGTGCACTATATGCTAATGTTAGCTGAACTATGGTGCAGGATTGCAATCTGCTACAACAGTGTATTTTTTAGTTATATACTAGTAAGCTTTTCATTAAAAATGTCTAATTACCATATAGTTTCCTACATGCTGGGTTTTAACTTTAATTTTAAGGAAAGAAGGATTTTGTGATATTCCTGCGGAAGTGCACATAGATATATAGTAGGAGTCTAAATAACTTCTCTAGCCATTGGGCAGTTTTGGTCAAACTGAACTTGTCCATTATGAGAGGGAAGCCGTAGGGGAGAGGCACATTATGAATAATACCTTTCCAAGAGAAGATTCAGACAGAGTTCACGCCTTGTCAGATGGCAGAGGACCTAACCACTGAATCCTAACGCCATCAGTAAGTCTTCCTGCTGCTCATAGAATTAATTCTGTGTGTGAGCACTGCAGTGAGAAGGAAAAAACCAGGTTGAAGATTCCTTGGAGCAAATTTTCTTTTCTCCTGGTTGTATTCACTTCCGGATAGCTTCTGAAGGTAAGGAAGACCAGGTGAACGCAGGGAAGGAAGGCTATTAAAATCAAATGCTGAAAGTTACGGTAGGTGAGATACTTCTTAGAGTGCAATCCTACTCCAAAGAATCTCCTCTGAAAGATGGTTCACAGCACAAAGTTCTGCAGGAGTCTTTCTCTCCACCAGCCTGGTGTGACCATCATGATTTACACCTGCAGAAATAACTTTTATCTGGGTTCAATCTCTGAATATAAAC